GTAAAACATGTGCGTGCACAGAGGAGGCGAAAAATACGACATCTAATACGGGTTGTGCTGGATTCTCCAACGCGCCACTAACGCCTTCTGAGTCGAGGGAGTTACCCGAAATGTGGTTTCCCACTGACTGGCAGACCGTCAGAATTCACGACACGCACACATGTAGAAAGAACTATGGAGGGCGGAAAATAAATGGAAACGCCCAGGAAAGACTGTACCTTGATTTTGGCGAGACTTTTAACGGTTCATGCATTTGCAGCGTTTTATTTCCAATAGCGTAAATAAACGGCATCTAGGCAGGCATACAATTAGGTAAAACGTAAGATCGGAGCTCGAAAATGCTGCTTTGCAGTGACACTACAACTTGGTCCTATGTTCTATGAACCCAAACAGAATCCCTACCGGAATTGACGGCTTAATGCAATTGGAATATACATATATAGGGGCCTTTCAGTACATGAGAATAGTCGTCGAAAATATCGACGCACAACATCTTAAAACAGATATGACACTCCTGAAGATGACGTAACACTGTGGTGACCGATTTTATCAAATGTTGACCAGAAATCGAGATGTGTGGCATTGTAAACTTGGCGATCATGTAAAATAATCATGCATTCCTGAAACGTTGGGATGTCTGTTTCTCAAGGCACCTCTTTTCATCCGCCTACATAATTCCTTCTCGGCACAAATAACTAAAAATTAATAAAGAAACTTTATACTGATTGGCGAGCCTCAACATTCAAAAATGTTTTCCAGATATTAGGTAGAAAACATAATCTGTTGGTACTTGTCTATTAGCCAATCATACCTCTTCAATAGTTATATTAAAAAGCTCATAAGAAAATTTGGAAAATTATTCGACATTAAAAATAAATTTGAGCACAAACTATAGTTGAATTTGAGTTCAATATTTCGAGTCCACAAAGCGCATATTTATCATGCAAAGGAAATCATGAAATAATATAAAAAAATACTTAAAATGTTACGATTCAAACGGCGTCTGTTGTACATGATATATGCTATGTCAATAAACGAGCATTTACGATGCTATGCAATTTGACACTACACGACATTAAAATATCCTTAGCACAAAACCAAAATTGGTTTCTAAAAAGTACATAAAAGAATCCTTTCGGGTAAGCTTCCAAGAAAATATATTTTCATCTGTATGGCCATCGAAAGGCAAAAGGACAAATTCCCACGGTTTAACTAGCCACGTTTACCCAGCGGTGTTTTCCGTAGTCGGTAGATTAGAAGTACACTTAATAGCCAATATCGCGCAGCATCTAAAACTTTCGTCCGATCGTTTAGCGCGAAATATAAACCTCATTTACAATTATGGTGCATATATCCTGAGAACAGCCAAATTGTAACGCTTAAGGAGATGTATTTGACTTCTGTAAAAATCCATTGGCAAGGATCCGCAACGTGGAAAAACAAAAGCAACACTGGAACCAGACAGAAACAACTGTTCACGGATAGATGAATCCAAAACAAATATGATGGTTGGAAGGACAAGGAGGGGGGAGGGATTAATGAAGGACGGTAAGAAGGAGGAGAAGGATACGAAAAGTAAAAAAAGGACGGGTGAATTGCAGGATAAATTTGGAGATTGCATGAAAGAATATGGGTTATGTAAACATCAAGGAGGCACAAATCGAGAATTCCACAACGTTCATTTCCCGATAGGGTAACCTCACTGTGCAAAAGTCAGCCGGATATTCCGCAGGTCTCATGGCGATCTAATATCTATTTTCATCGCGCATTACTTAGTAAACATTCCAATGCGTGATCATAATTCTTGGCGAATTTATGGTTGCTTGAAAATAAAAAAAAATGTTTGAGGTACCAGACTGGGTGTACTGCTATCATTTCGGATACATTTGTAAGCCAATCACTTTCAAAGCGTTGAATGCAATTGCGCATCTCGCTGACCGATTTTCACATTCTTTGTATGCCTTGCATGAACTGTTTGAATTTCGTATACTTTCCGCGAAATATACTTGAATGTCTAAGAACCTCAAAAATCAATGAGAAAAAAAGCAAGCCAATTACGTAAATTTTTTTACTGAGTATAATTTTTGGATGTAACCGGAACGACATTAGTTCGAATGCCGGCACCCTGAAGTAACTGAGTTGTTCTAGAATTACGCTGCAAGATTATAAGTTTTACAGCCCTTCTTGATAAATCCATTTGAAACGAAAGCGCATTTCACAATGTCGGTCGACATTTCCTGAGTTAGCCCACCCATTGTACGTTAACCAAATGCACTTGAAAATTACTATGAGGGCGACTACTCAAATAGCCAATGAGCATTTTTGTAGGTGCTTAGCCAATAAAATAACAGTACAGCAGACAACCTTTCCATATAAGCAGAACGGAATAATCTCATTAAGGCAAAGTACAGCCTTCTTCGCCCAGAATGACTAGACCGCCATTGTGGACACATACTCAGACTATTTTAATTGTGTTAATAATCTACTCTGGCACGTTTACTAATTGTTGGCTGCTTTTATTAGCAACAGTTTACTAAATGCATAACGGTTTATCTAAAGCAAATCATTATGAAAGTAAAAGTGAACAAATTTCACGTCTAAAATTTGAGAAATGTAAACATCCTGAAATCTGTTTTAAATTATGACTTTATAATTGTCCATTAGCGCATGTTTGCGGATCACCAACGTATGATCTGTGCAAAGGTCAACATACAGATTGCAACGCCGTGTCTTACAGAGCTGAAGATCCGACCAAAGGTTCCAACTGCCGTACAGCCTGCGCTAAGAAACGAGGTTTGCGCTTTGTATTCGCATTTACTGTGCATTCGCATTGATTCCGCCTGCAAAAATATGCTTAGGTTCTTTGCTGGACCCTGTTCAACATCTCATGTGTTGTAATAATCAAATATTTTATTCTTCTTATCAGGAGAACTGGATGATAAGATAACAGCATATTTCTGCGAAGACGAAAAGAAACCGTGCGTTGCATATGATGTTTATGGAAGAAAGGGCTATGCAGATAACTTCAAAAGACACGTAATGTGTGTCAAATTGTGTCATTTTGTTGGAGCAGGTAAATTGCTTGACAATTCTCCAATAATTATTCTGAACTGTTCCTGTTAACACCCATCATATTTTGCAAGCATGCAGGACACGTTTATCATTTTAGCTATTATATTTTCTTACTTCACTCGTTGTTTTTTAGCGCAACATAGTTCCGTCAAGTAACTTGAAATGTGTCCGAATACCATGGGACCTTGCACTGATATAGGGAGAAAAGATGGAAGTTTTGACACCTTCAGCAAGTGTGCTTTTGTGTGTGATGGCTGGACGAAACGTAAGTTGTAGGCATCATAGTTCTCTAAATTGTTGTAGTGTTATGGTGCTTGTTGTTGCTGTCATTTCGGTTAAATTGTTATTATTTGCTAAAGTGGAAAACACGGTGGAGGCCACAGCGATTTTCTGCACCGAAGCTGGCGTCTGTGAGGAAGGCAGATACTTCAGCCCTCCGAAAGAAGGAAGTCCATTTGAGGATTTAAAGACCTGCTTCAAAAAGTGCATGTCAGGTAAGATGTGATATTCATTTCCTAAAAACGCAAAATAGAATATGCCTAACCGCGAAAAAGTGTCACTTGCCGGTATACATACTTTGGAAATGTTGGTCTTAGCAAAGCACAATGCCTGTTTACCGCTCGTAAACTCCGCTATATGTACTGTATATATTCAGTGGATTACTAGCATACGTAACAAAAATTGTTTCCGTAAAAACGCATCAAATTTTTGACATCAACAACGGTGTGATGAAAGACCCCACTTAACTGTCGTTAGACTGTGGATCTTGTTATAAGTGGATAGTGGTAATGCGAGCTTTACGGGTGCCAGTCATTAAGCTCACAAAATGAAAACAAACACCCAAATCATTTGGATGCCTGTCGAAGGTCGTATCTTAAGCTTACGTATGGCAATGAAAATTAGCGTGGTAACTAGAAAAATAAAAATAAAGCACATTTTCAATAATGCGTGAGGTGAAGAAAAGCAATTTTTTTGGCATTGTAATATCTGCATTGGACTGCAAACAAATGTCAAGATAAAACTTTCATGTATAATGATCCACGGTCTAGCAAGAGCCAGGTGTGGTCCCTTAACCTACCGTGGTCCGCATTTCCATCCTGTAGGGTAAGGAGTCTCTGAAAGTTTATGGACAATTCATATGTGGTTTGTCATGCTCTTTTGGGTTGTGGGAAGTTATGGGTGTCTGTGTCCGATTCACAGAGTGTCGCGATGCCCCAAAATGTGGCAGCTGATTTCTGAGCGACCTGCAACTTTCATATTCAGAGTTCACTTCATAAAGTGGGAAATTAGCATTTTATATGTAGGTCTGTTATTCTGGTAACTCAAGTTAATATTTACCTTTTAGCTTAGGCATTTGTGTCAACATTTGGTTATGGGTGGATACGCTCCCTTGTGCTTCAATACTGGTGTTTTTTTAGCTGGTTTCGGTTTTGGAATTCAATGCATTCTGTGTTTGTTTTAAAAATATGTCAGACCAAAATACCCCGGGATGTTTTAGTTTCGGTGTGGGATATGAGTCTCACACAACACAGAGCTGAGCGTAGTGTCTAGCCTAAAAACCTGACTAACCTTAAGCGATGTGTAATCAATTTTTTGTTAAAACCGACGAGGTGACTAATTAAACTCTGAGCGGGAGGGTTCACCAACGCGTTTAACCAATGAATATTACATGTGCTAGCCTAACTATAAGAAACAATATGGACATATAACAGAAGTGTCGAACAATTAAAGCCGTCTATTATCTGTCCGCCATAGACGAAGGAGCGGACAGAACTATATAGGAATGTTATTCGGACAGGACATTTATTTTGAACACCACATCTTTCAAGTGACGTTAGGCTGCCGCAGTCGATAGTAAATATTTATCTTTTTTCATGACTCTCTCAAGCTGGCCTACAGCATTTTCAGACCGCACTTGATATTCTGAGAAATACGCTGGACGTTCCAGCAAAAACCATGGAACATTTTATCACCTTCAGTTCCACTTCGCCATAAGCAGCAGACGAATAGGGAAATAAACCCGTGGCGTTGAAGAATGGTGAATTTTTAGTGTGCATAGTGCATGCTAAGATGCAGTTGAATCTTCATTCAAATTACAGCTTGGACGACACAAAAAACCATAGGAGACGGTGCCATCTTTATATAGAATCACTTCTGCTCGAGTAGCATTGTTAAACATGAGGGGGTTTGAAAACCTGGACAGTACTAAATACAAACATTACAGTAGTAATGGAAAAGATCCGGCATAATCTCTCATGTATGAATATTGCCTTAAATTTAAAAAATGCGAATTTGGCGATACGTGCATAGACTGCTAAATAACGTACGTGTTGTCTGAAAAGGGATTTTGCCTGCGGCCACTAATTTTGCGATATGTTTCACCGCAATAAGAGTGCTCTCTTATTATGAAGCAGCCACAACCAAAGACCAAAATGAAACGTATAATCAGGATGGCGTGTGTGGGAGCTGGACTGATTCAATGTCATGACGAACTGCGTAAACGTCAGTGCGGCAAATGACCGGGACAGCCATTAAACAACAACAGTCCCCTCAAATGTGGCACAGAATATCGGCGGTTAAAACGATTATAGGGAATTGCGTTGAAACAGAACAATTGCATGCTCACCGTAACGAGTCAGCCTGACATCAGGTGCAGTTCACAGTTGCTGAAAAATTACATGATTTGTCATGTCACAATCTGTCATAAGTCTGCGTTAATCGGATTATAAAAGAATTACGGGAAGCAATAATGGCCACAGAATCCTCACTGGACATTATTAACCATATTTTGCATAGTAAATACGGAGCAAATTACCCTTATCCACATGCACATCAATTCAATTTAATCCTAATTTAAAAATTCAAATATATTTTTATAGAAAACGCGAACAAAAACATACCTATTTCTACTTGTTTGATAAATGACCGCATTGGTTTGGACTTTCACCCTATAAAAGAGTATATTTGGGTTTTGAAAAAAATTCTCGATTCCTGAATGTTTTCGATCCACATGAGCCGTTACATTAAGCTTGATCAATTTCAGGTTACAAAATGCATTCACTTTGCGTGGAACAAATCATATATTCCTCTATGCATTTAAAAAGATACCATAAAACGTTCATAAAACTTTACAGTTGATGCGACTATGTTAAAAATCTCTAGATGATCAAGCGTAAGCATACAGGTACGATGCTGCATGAATAAATATCGCACGGTCTTAAAAATTTCAGAATAATCAACTTTTTAAAACCTGAATATTTGCTTTCTTCGAGCATAAAATGCAAATACAACGTGCCTTTCTACCAAACGAGTAGAATTAACTATATTTCGTGCATGTTGTCTATAAAATATAATTGACTTCATAAGACCATCAAAAATGTAGGTGAAAAACGCAGGCTACTTAGGTAAGCATTCTTAACGACTTGTGGATTCTGTAGGAGGTCAGAACGAAGTACATTCAAAAGCCGACATCCCGATGAGTTGAAAATACTGTAGGATTATGCAGCACGGCTATCAGTTTCACAACCACACCTGAGTAATCCCCCCTAATGGAAAATGCATTTCAGAAATTCGGTCAACCGTTCATGACATCAGACATTCACTATACCGCTCAGGGCATGTTTAATTGGTAAACCTAAGCGAGATTTCCATCAAGAATAGAGCGCCCTTTCCTATCCAAAGCTGGTTTTACTGTTTTACTATAGCGCATGTACCAATTCACTGCTTTTTTAAAGATTATCCTTATTTCCTGTAAACTGGTTTTATTTCGTACGGCCATCCTACTCTGGAGGTGTCATTGAGCAGCCACCTCCATTTACATGATCTAACGCATGGCTCCCACTCAAACCTTATGCCTTGCATTCATCTGCTTTCCTTGCATTGACGTCGTTGGTTTTATGTTTGTCGGTCATAAGTCGCCCGTTAGCCGGATCAGATAGCTCTCCGGGGCCGAACGATACCCTGGGAGACTATGGGCAACCTATATACGAAATTAAATGAGGAACGTTTTTTGCACCTATTGATTTATCGCAGGTTTAACTACAATTATCGGCTGAAGAGGAGCACATAATATATGCGTCTCAACGATGGAGTAAAAGCAGCCCCAATCGTGGTCTAGCGCTTATTGTCACAATGCCTACAAATGTTCCTGAGACCTACGGAAACGTAGATGACATTTTGGCCGAGTGTGCTTCTACAACGGCTTAAAGTTGTCACAAAACTTTCATCGATTGTTGCGTAGGGAATAAACATCGAGCGGCTAATTGTCTTACATGGTAATCAGTGACATAATACTGTGCTCACACCTTTTCGTGCCATGTCGCATGTGAGCTGTTGGCATTAAACACGATTTATGTTGAACGAGGCATGATATTCACCGGATTTGTCCCCATTTGAGATTTTGTCGGTTTAACTAATTTGCGGAACTACAAATATATATATCGGTGTAATTAATTTAAAACTCGCACTTTTTAATAGATTCCACAGTTTACAGTCACAATGAAAAAGATCAGCTTGAAGAGGCGCAAAATATGATTGGTCAGCAGACTGTCAGTAAGCGATCGACATTATAAGGATAAGGATAGGACATGACTTGTTTGGCAGAACGCGCAACAGCGGAGATGAGAGTGGAGATGGTTTATAACGATGTCCATAGACTTGAAGTACGAGATGGAAGGAAAATTGAAAAGCCGAATACATTTCAACCCCGCCAGGCATGGAGTCATCGCAAATGACTCGGTAGCACTCGGCTGACTACTTGATACAGTTCACAGGGGCCACAAAACAACCCAGCCTCCGAAGAAGAACATCGTGTGCCCGAAGATCAAGACCAAATATTCAAAAGCTGTAGGTTATTTGGAGAAGCAGAAAGAGCGTGGCGTCACCGGCTAAGTCGAAATGAAGAGATGAACACGCTCGAAAGTGCACGCAAAGCCGGCCAGAAAAAAAACGGGCGAAGTCATTCATTCAATCAACGCGTATGGCATTATCGAGCACGAGCAAAATCTTTGATCACACGTGCGGCCCAATCAATGGCCAGTCGTACATTCAGAGTTATTCTTCACTGGAATTCTCGCACACGATACTACATATCTATGAATACCATGCTACAACTTTAAATGATCCAGAACGCCGAATACCCAACATAGATAACGCGATATGAAATGCGGGTTAGGATAGCGTGTTTCGCAAATTTCGAAAACAAAACCGAACACCGCGAAGTCGTTTATATTTTACTTTCGCAAACACATCGGGAAAAAATAGAAAGGAGAGAACATTCGGCTGGATAGAAAGTACAATTACACATTGTTTGCCTTCGTGTGGAGGGAGAATAAATGCCTTTATTGCAGACGGACAGGAAGAGCATTGGTTTTCCTTTTTTGTAAGACGGTCGTGCGGCTCAATTAGTTATAGAGGAGGTACGGCATCCCTGTGCACTGTTTAGGTTTGACTGCCAAAAGTTGAGTTCGAGGTCGACAATAATTGCACAAAGTCGCAGCAATTTAAGAATATAGGACGTACGGAGGGACAGTGCAGTTTAAACCACTCAAGTACACGCATGTATTGAGTTAAGTTGTATAAAACCTTTGCATCGCGGTGATAAGAAAACTGATAATTTCGCCCTATGTTGCAAGCTGTATGTAACGCGTTCTAGAGCTCAGCGGTCCATATAAACATTTTCTATGTGCTACATTTATTGAACATTCATAAAGACGAAAGCAGTTCCATCAAAGACAGGCCTATCGTTTGATAGACAATTAAACCTGGCAAGGGCTGAAATCAGTTACCTAGCGATTGGGAGGCCACCAGAGTTCTGACAAGAGCTTGTCAATAAACGTAAGAAGCAAACCGCACTCCTTCTTTTACATTTAGCGGACATATCTTCATAAAACCAAGTACAGTTGTGTCATGGCATTGGTGAAGGCTCATTATTTTAGCAGAACTTCGGTGTGAAAGCAACTGGTTGCGGAATATTTAGCCTGATTTGAAGGGTGCATGGGCGTTAAATGCCGAATAGGCGCATTAACCTTTCCACATTGATCTCTACACCATTTGGTGGTTACGTTTTTATCCAGTTCTGCACTTGGGTCGGTTGCTTTGAGGTTGATTCTGCAGAAAATATTTGGATGTAGGTGTTACAATTATGCATACACTACCACACCGTCGCTCTCTCTTACCGTTATCTTTTGGTGCAAGTAGGTGTCATTTTGGAAAGGGTACTGTGAGCTGACGCAATTCGCACAGTTAGCAGACCCTGATAAATTAAATCGACTAAAAATCTAACTTTCGTTATGTAAAGCGCGGACCTAATAATCAACTCCACCGCCATATTTACTCAACCGAAAATGTTCGGGAACACAGCCATTCGAAATCACGATAATCTATCTTCGCCTTTGAAGATCAGGATGACATTTATATACCCATGCGTGAACGGGTTTCATTTAATGTGTTCCAGAATGAAAACCAAAATTAAAGAACGAAGTACCACAACGGCACATCCACACTAAGAGCTATTGCACAGGATGAAAAGTGTTTCCTAAAGCTTCCCTGTTACGCGCATCACAGGGTTATTGGTCAAATGCTCTGTATAGAAGTAGCCATGAAAATGACAATAATTGTCCTTTATCTGCGAATGTCTCTGATGATAGATTCAAGCGAGAATCCGAAACGTCAGGTCAATAAATTTCTTGTTCCAGCGATCGCATCTTCGTCTTCTGAAATGCATTTGTCAAGGAAATGGAAAAACCTACTATCGCATCTGTCGACATGGCCTTAATGCATTTCGATTATATAACATACATTTTTACATACGGCACTTCAAGTGACTTTCCTCTCACTTTTTAGGTTTGCGTATTAACTTTCGAATTCGAGAAGAATTTACGTGATGCGATTCCTATACTGTCAAAAATGTATAAGAACAATACACATGGAATCGCAACACACTGAGCAAACCGTTTGTATTTGCAGCACTGAACGCTCAGCAATTGTGCGCGTTCGACGCGTTTGTTTCCTTCCAATTTCCTTTTCAGCACATGCCCAGCAGCAAATTGAAAATACAGTGGTATAATTTTGTTTCCGTTAAAAAGAAGGAGGACTTGGATGCCCATTTCTGGCTTTTTAGCTGTCGTCAGCCAGGCATTGTCAACCCCAAAGTGTGCAAACCTGTGGCTGGATTTCTCTAAGCACTGAGCCACGGGCCCGTTTTCCTGTCGGTTTTGAGCAGGAATATACAATGGTAGAGAGGCGCTCATTGATAGTTTCTACGGATCTCATTCATCCCGTCGTGCCTTACGGGCTCTCCCTCTCACTTTCGAGCCATCATGGCCGCAATAGCTACACAATAGCCCGCCCTATGTCACGTAGTCTTATGCGGATTTCAGCTGGCCGATTTGTGGTTTAGAGATTGTCGCTTCGAAATGCTTAACTGCAAAATGAAAAACGGCGATACATTTCTTGATACATGTCTAAATTTGCACAACAAAATATCAGATTATTGTTGCATATGAAACCAAGTAAAGGTCGTATAATAGGGAAGACTGGTAGCGAACGGATTTCCGGTAAAAAGCAGCCAAATGGACCAATAAGATATGTTGTGTCAGATTGTGATAAATATTGAGTTTTAGGAGGTGATCACTAGAGAGAATGATGACAATACAGTTTGCCATATGTCATTTTTATTTAACCAAATCGAATTTGTGCCATCAATACTTCTGTGAGTATGGCACAGGGTGTAAAAATAATAGATATTTTTAATCTCACAATACAGGACAGCTGAACTGCTAACTTTTCGCACCCACAAGCATAAACTATGTTAAGCATGTAGAAAAAAAATCGCGGTGAATAAATATGAAAACATGCGGTGGTTAGGACTACGGAATTCAAAGTAACTGTTTAAGTGGTCAAGCGCCTGAGTATTATAAAGTCTGTGATTGGGTGTGGCTGTCTGCTGACGGTTTATAAGCTGGGCATGGACATTCCTGTGTTCTAGAAATGGTACTTAATATTATTGTGATTGCATTTTTTTCCATCTAGTGCATCTGTTTGGCTGGCTATATCCCCGCATTGGAAGGTGTACAAGATGACAGATAATAGTTTGAAGAAAACGACTCTGCTGATTCCGTCTGTGAATAAAAGTTGGGAAGATGATACTTGGAAAACCCTCTTCAAATGAACAATTTTTTTCTCCCCGGATCCGTCTAGCTTCATTTAATACTTGTAGTGCTCTGTAATTCATTTGAAAGTTGTTTTGCCTTCTAAAATATGTGCCTGCTAAAGGCAGAGAGTGTTATTTTAATAAGCTACACCCACATTTCGCAGTGATGTGCTTCGAGAACGATACCAAGTGAGGATTTTTGCGTGAGGAGGCTGCAGAATTTTATTACAAATATACTCAGACAAATTACATTCTCAAGGTACTCATTTGTGTAGTAATTTCACCTTGAAGACCATTTTCATAAATTAGGATTAACATCTTTCACACGACAGCATGCCAAGCCTTGTCGGTTAACACTTTAACGACTCGGATGCATGTCCTAAATCCACCTGTTGTTCGCAGTCATCCCTGTGTTTCTGACACGTGTGTGGTGTTTTTAGTTTGTGAAGTTGGAAGACCAGTGACTGTAACCGTTGCTGGACCGCCTTGGCGATGAACCCCAAAATCGGCGAGCCCATTGGTGTGCCCTTCACCTGTTCGTAGATTGTCCCGTCAAGCGTGAAGATCGCCCAAGTCCTTCAGCTCCTGAAGTTCTGTCTCAGGACGTACTTCACGTTCGACGGGACAATCTACGAACAGGTGAAGGGCACACCAATGGGTTCGCCGATTTCGGGGTTCATCGCCGAGGCGGTCCTGCAACGGTTAGAGTCGCTGGTCTTCCAACACCACAAACCGAAGTTCTGGGCCCGGTATGTGGATGATACCTTCGTCGTTATGGAACGGGATCAACTGCTGACATTCAAGGAAAGTCTGAATGCGGTCTTCCCGGATATATAATTAACGATGGAGGAGAAAGAGAAACACCAGCTGGCCTTCCTGGATGTCCCCGTATGCCGCAAGGGTTGTGGTGGAATAAAGACCAAAGTGTTCAGGAAAGCGACAAATACGATGCAAGTACTGAACTTCAACAGCAACCACCCAATCAGTCACAAACGCAGTTGTGTAAGGACGCTCTATCGGCGCGTCGAAACGCACTGTAGGTAGCCGGAAGACAAGATTGCCGAACTAAAATATCGTCGACGGGTCTTCCTAGTCAATGACTACCCACGCAACTTTGTCAACCGGTGCATACGCAAAATGGACGAAAGGCCTAACCGCAGGGATACCAAAGTTTGGCGAGCGCTTCCATATGTCAAGAACGTTTCGGAAGCTGTCGGCCGCCTTCTCGCACCACTTGGGGTTGGAGTTCCACACAGGCCAGAGGCAACCATCAGGCGTCAATTGATGAAACCAAAAAACACACTGCCACGGCAAGGAACGTCTGCAGTCGTTTATCGGATCTGGTTAATGTTGCGGACAAAGCAACTACGTCGGAGAAACCGGAAGACAGCTCCGAACGCGAATGGCTGAACACGCTGCAGCGGTGCGGAGAAATGACGCCAGCTCTCAAGTTGCGGCTCATTCGACGGGTTCCGGCCAAACATTCAAATTTGACGAGGCCGCAATTCTCGCAAGAGGTGGCAATCGCGTGAGCCGAGTGTTACTTGAATCATGGTTTACTGGTCCCCAGCCAATTAGCAAGTGCAATGATCTTCCCATTCCATACTCCCAGCTGAGATTTCGTCTAGGCGGAGTAATTGGCCAGGCGGGGAGCGCACTGGTGAACACTCTTCCCAACACCCGGGGTCAGCGCGTCAGATGGCTGAGCAATTATCACACCAACACCCAACGCACGTGATGAAATTGCAGCAATTAAAGACGCGAAGGTCGGCCATCACGCCACATGCAACGATCGCTGATGAAGGGGGGGGGGAGCCGTGAATATTCATAGGTATGTGGTAGCATGGCTGTTGCATCCCATAATTACTGCAACCGCATGTGCATGAACCACGCTTATCTGCTTATGTATCCGATGATGGATTCGAGCAGGAATCCGAAATGTCAGGCTAATAAAGCTCTTGTCCCTGCGATCGTGTCTTCTTCTTCTTCTTCAAAAAATTCTGCCTGAGTCCACTCTCAATATAAGCTGATTGACACGCAACCTACCGTGCCTGCATGTATGTGCTGAGGGCCGCACGGCTTACATCATCGACAGCGGTGATCAAGCTCTTATGTTTGACCGACTGCACAGTTCTAGTTTCGGAAACGAATATTACCTTTCTGTGGTATATTATTGTGCTGCACAAATATACTTATTCGGTGTAATTATGCACTTGTCAAATTTGAGCCATTCCCATCATTTTCAGCCTAAGGATCCTCCGCGGGCGACGGTTCGGAATTGAGGATATCCAAACTGATTCAGCAAATTCTGCTTATCAGAATAAATAAAATCATTATCTTCCACTCGGACAGGGTTGACCACGCACAGGCAGCTTTGAAACGTTGAAGTTCGGCGGTGAAAACACGTGCAGAATGAAAAAATCGCAAACCTTGAAAAATTCCTGTACGTTAGATTTCGCCGACATTAATCAAAACATTACTTGCCGGAGTATTCCCCAGGTTGGTTGGTATGGCCATATGGTATGGCATATGACATTTATTTGCAGTGGGAATACGCTCACTTTCCCAAATATAATAGTTAATATTCCTGTGAGTGTAAGCCGGGATATTTAAGACAGATACAATATAATGAGTTACTACCCCTCGTTCCCCCGGCAGGGATGGCCTCAGGCAAAATTCCATTTAACACTCTCAGTGCCCAAAAATACACGCAAATGCGTTGTCAGTCTTGTGGATGCTGCTGAAATCAGCTATACACTACCGTAGTCGGGTTCGCGGTGTGAACCACTTGTCCATTTCATCGAACGGGTAATCTCAGACACTGCTGCAATTGACTCCTAAACACGGTGTAAACTCAATCCCTTTTATACACGTAAAATAATCTTTCAGGAGGTTTTACTAATTTATCAACGGAAAAAAGGTCTTCTATGTTCACTTTTATTCCACGATCGGGTTCATTCCAAAGTAATATATTATTAAATAGTGTGGTATAATATGTGCCCAGCGGATTTGAGGCGCTTGTTGCCTGTTTGATTTGAAAATAATGTCATGCATCTGTGGAAGAGAACTTTACCTAAAACACAGATAATCAAAAACTCTAGCGAAGAGTGAGAGTTTCAGTCTGGAACCGGTTAAATTGCTTAGCGAATATACGAACTAACGGGAGTTTAATATTTCCCATATCCTGTTTCAAGCCTTGCTGTCGCCGTTTGGCGATGTGACTAGAGTTTTGACCATTTTCATTGTGCCAATCGAACTGATATATATATATATATATATATATATATATATATATAAATATTTTGATTCATTCTCATCTTAGTACATTGTTGGTGTCTATCTCCCTCGCCCGGGAAAAAGCAACCTTACGTACGAAATCGTACTTGCGGATCAACGTGAAATCGTATATCTGATCCTCATTAACCAGAAGTCTGTAAGCAAGGCATCGAAAAGTGCGACTAACATTTCACCAAGAAAATCGGTTGTTTACTTCACTGATGAATGGAGATAATGTCTTGCATTGGCACTGATGATATAAAATCGGTCACAATTACCGTCAACCTGTTATAGCTCATCGTTCGAGAAATCGATGTCTTCAATGAATACTATGTGGCTCATTCAGTTTTCGCCGAATAAACACCACTGCAATCGATTTTTCCTGGCTCAGCGTGAGTTAGTCCACAGTGACTGATGTTCCCTTTCTTCTGATCAGTTTGAAATCGAGCCGCTAAACAGGTGAATCAGCATTTCAGTTTTACAGAATGAAGCCCAGTCCCAGAAAGAGTTATAATTTCGTCTTGCACGCTAACTAGACCAAACTTTCCGTATTCACACAAACATTCTTCATTTTGGGGATGGAGGATTTAAAGTTACAGTCTACGACCGCAGCTTAGATTCATATTAATCCTCCCGGCAAGCAATGTTCTGACGGATTTCAGCGATAATTAACATAGAGAAATGTCTCGGGACTTCAGTTCAGCTGTCATTCGATAAAGGTTTTGTTGAGTTCAGTGTAGGTAACTTATCAATATGCAAGGTTGTCAATTCTAGACGGAAAATCTTAACTATTTCAGCCTGCGTTTAAGGAAACGTTCTTTTCTATAACTGTATTGTCGCCATTTTCAAGTTTATTATGCAAGAAACGGCCAACACGCGCCTACTGCAACATTTGAGGATGAAAGGCAGATCCAAGTCTGGAACCCAGCTGTAAATTAAAAAAAACGTATTTCCTGGAAGTTTAGGACGACTACATAATGCATCATGATGCTGACTTGAAGATTTACTGAGACAGATTCGATGTTACTTTTTGCATTGTGTACTAACTGCTGATCATTTCTGAAACTAACCACGAACTGGAATTTGTCGCTGCTGCTGACAGTTTAACAAATTATACTCGTCTCTTAGCCAACACAGTGTTTTTTTTTCAGGTCAGAAGAATTTGTGAGTGGAAGATTTCGTTCCCATTGACAATCTTATGTTTTGACATGATGCAGTCAGATGCTTAGAAGAACGTATGCCTGCCAAGTACAAACCCAGTGTCTGCATAGAACGCGCGCGTCGTACACTGTGCAACTGACCTGTCTTTGAAGCTGCTGTCGGTATTGTGAACTTATGAGACACCAGGTGCAAACCTAGCGAAGCGTTAGACATTTTCGATGTTGCTGGCTTTTAGACCACATAATCTTTCCTCTTAGTCTGCAGTTTTTTAGGGTCAAAGAGACTGGCAGGTGTCTCTAGCAATGTCATGTCGATGGTGGGAGCTTGAATTTATCCGTGTTGTCTATGCTTTAGCGTGGTTGTAGAGCAATTGCGTCCAAAATGTCTGCGGTTAGGGGGCAGCTAGAACCACTTTCGTTGACTCACACTTATAATATAATTCATGGAAATTGTGAAGCGTCTTGTCAATGACGGTATTTTTTCTCTTGGACTGTCGCCGGGATCTCGCCATTCATCTTTTAACAGGCTCACAGATTTCATGCATTATAAACTTACAGCCAAAGTTCCTAGCATCGGACGACGAGAGAGAATACTTTCTGTAACACCAGTTCTTTGGATGTGCGTACGAGTTACTTTGACCTGTACAAGTGAATATGAATGCTGAAGAGTCAGTTAAGTTCACCCGAGTGTCAGCAACATTGGCAATTCCTCAGTGCTTGTTAAGCTTTAAAAAAACTTTAATTTAAAACTTCGAGCTTAAAAAAAGCGAACGATCCATTCAAAATAAAGGCAACCTTAACGCTGAAGATGCGCGACAACAAAGACGGCTCTGAAAATGACACAAAAAAATTAGTTTTCATCGCGAACCGACAACAGTACGGTGGAGTATACAGCCGCAGCATCAAAAGAACTGACAAGGCACTAGTATGTATTTTCTATGGCAGTCGAAGTGTAAAACTTGGAATTACCTGTTGTGTAAACGATGGGCAGCCAGACGTAAAAATCTACGTTGGAAAACTCCTGGCTGAACGAAACAGGGAAACGAACTGCAATATTTTGGAAAGGGAACACTTTTATACTTCATCAAAATGTCAACTTCCGTAGGTTGTGTTCACGCCAGTCCATCCCGTGACCTACTGGGCAAGTAAGTTTCAAATGAATCCTGACGATAAATAGCACACAGAAATGTCATCGGGTCTACAATTCTGCTCTCATTTTATAAAGGATTTTTGGATTGAGTGTGCATTGATTATCACCGCGTAAGCTGGCCGGTTCTAGACTGAAAACTAATGCTGTAACTGATAGTACGCGTTTCAGACAATGTTCACATTCCTAACTACACTGCCGCCATCCCATGTAGAATATGTAAGCACCGGCCTAAGGGCGCTTAATACAACATG